AACATCACTTCCCTGATGAAGAATCAGCTGGATTCTCCTACCAGAGTGTGGCTGTAAAAAAAGCACAGGATTTGGAGTCAGAAAGATCTTGTTCAATCCCTTGTTTAACCACTACCTGCCTGTCTCTAGGCAAAGTATATAATCTCTCTCTCTCTCTCTCTCTTTTTAATGATTATTTATTTAATTTTATTTATTCATTTATTTTAATTTGACCAGAGAGAGACAGAGAAAGAGGAAAAGTGAGAAAGCAAGTCATCAGGTCTGGACTCGAACCGTGATCAGTCATATACGAGTGTCCAGCACCTTCAGCACCATGCCACCTGCTAGTCCCCATGATCTCTCTTTAAACCCATTTTCTCCACATGTATTTTTTGTCTCAGTGAGTGCACTGGAGTTATTCTCTCACATGCCACATGCAAGCATAGGACAAGTACCTGATTATTCCCCCAATTCATCTCTTCCTCACTTCTTCTTTATGAAGACCCCAGTTTGGAGTCTCATCATCTCCAGCACAACTACTAAAATAGCTTCCCGGGACCAGCAGTCAGCGTAATGGCTATGTCGCTGGACTCACACGTAGTCAACAGCAGTTCGCATCCTGGACCTAGTGGCTTAAAACTCACGGCGGGTGCGTGTGCATGCGTGCCCAAGATCCCGAGAGGAGAATGGAGGAGAAGGGACTGCATCGTGGCCATCCCTCCTGGGGGGGGGGGGCGTGATTTCTCGCTTTCTGTCTCTCTGTCTCACTCTGTCTGTCTGGCGAGCGCACGAGCCCTATAGCTAAAACCTCTCCAAAAAAAAAAAGCTTCCCAAATAGTCTCCTGTTCCCAGAATTGTCCTCCTAAATCTATCTTCTAGAGTCAACAGAGTAGACTAGCAAATACTATGTTTGTAGCATGTTTGATCATGCCCTCATCTTCACTAAATCCTCGATACCCACAGGACAACATTTAGCCTCAACATGCTACACGAAGTCTGCATCAGTGCTCTCCTACTGTGCAAGCTTATCACAGAACCTGGAGAATGAGTGAGTAAATGCTGTCCAATCAAGCGTTAGACGTGACATATGTTCTATCTATTACATATTATACTCCACATGTAAACAAATTGTTAGATATTTATATAAAATCTGTTTGTATATATGAATTATATATGCTAAGTCTAGTTTCACCTTCAAGAAAAGACTTTTAAAATAAAATCCTTGACAGTATCCCATATCCCAGAAAAGGTGATGGCTATGTGAATAACTTTCAATTGAACTGACCTCAGTGAGTGAGCAGCCCAATTTAAGTTAGTAGCAAAGATTTACTGAGTTTTTACTATATGCCAACCTCTGCTCTAGGTACTAGGAATATAGCTATGAATATAATTTACCAAACCTCTGTCCTCATTCTATTGTGAGGAAAATAAACAATAAGTAAAAATTTTAAAGTGCATTATACAGCATATCTAAGTGCTACGGAGAAAAATATGGCAAAAACAGGCTGGGGTGTATAGTGGTAGAGGGTTAGCAAGTAGGGTAATTAGGAAAGGCCTCACTCAAAAGATGGCACATAAGCAAAGACTTGAAGGCAGTAAAAATGAGTGCCAAGCATAAGTTTAAAAATATATATATATAAGTTGGGGCCAGCAGGTGGTGTGGTGGTTAAGACACCAGACTCCCACATGGTTGACTACAGTTTGTGTCCCAGATCTGGTGATTGCTCTCTCTCTCTCTCTCTCAATCTCTGGTGAGCATATACACCCGATAGCAAATTTTAAAAATAATAAATAAAATTAAATAAAGAATCCTTTTTAAAAAGTATGGAAGAATCTTCATTTTCTATTTCTATATATGTTAATTCAATTAAAAATTTATCAATTAAAAAGAACTTTCCTCCTGGAAGTCTTCCCTTTACTGATCTATTGGTTTCTGATTACTCTTCAAATCTCCATCTGTCTTGGCTTGGTGCATGTTTATTTTCTACTTATGTTATGCTATTACTATTGTCATGGTCATAGACACTGATTACCTTCCCAGGTAGCTCATGAACTGGAAGAATATGGCAGCAATGTAAAAGTGCCCAAGTAGATGCTAGATCTATAATAACTGGATATATGTAAAAGAAAATATGAACCAAGTCTAGGGATGGTTCAGTATAGTTTTTCTGCTATCTTTAATCCAGTAGCACTTGAGGGTCTGTCTCATAAGATAAGATCTGAAGCCTATTTTGGTTTCAATGCATATTAAAATGCTTCCTAAAGTATAACCTAGAATTTTGCAATCATTTTCAGGTAGAATTGTCAGCACTTATTTTATAATAATCATGAAGCTTACCAGAAAACATATATTTTCATAAAAAAAAAATAGGTAACAGGTAATCATCTTCCCTCCACACTTTTGAACAAAGCTCTTTAAAAACAGAACTAATTTCTACCTGGGAGACTTCTTTGTTCATAATGAGTCCTCAAAACAGATACGGTCAAACCTAGTGCTCTAGAGGGCAGTTTCCAGGGGGATGAGGTAACGGTGTTTTCCAGAGATGGCTCTAGTCTCTGCTCTCACCTCATTTAAGGCCAATTAAAAACAACTAAAACAATTAGGGAAAAAACAAAAGCAAAAGGGAGGGTAGATTGCCATTTTATTGTCTAAGAAATGATAAAGATCAGAAAGGTAAGGAAAACAACTTTTAAGGCAAATGGAAAATATTTCCGTACAATAATGGATAAAGAGATCTGATTTTACAGCTGAAGTCCTTTTTGGCGATTAAGTACACATTTCTATTTGAGACTGCTGCTTAGATAATGCATAATTACATTCTGCCCTTAATCTTCTGAAACACCAACTTACATGTTTTTAAAAAATTGTTTTTTCTGGCTGCATTTGTCAGTTTATTCTTATCTGTACCTATAAATTCTGATTTTCTATGTTTTAAACTATCATTTAATTCTCTCTTTGATTTATGTAATGTTCCTTACTATGTATTACCTAAAGTTCTATATTTTAATTTCAAAATTTTTAAATTTGCTACAGGGCATATGTACCTGCTGGAGAGAGAGAGAGAAGGAATAAGAAATCACTCCCCAGGGAGAATGGCCATGCTGCAAGCCCTTCTTCATTTTCCTCACAGGATTTTCGGTACATATGCACATGCGCTGGGCATTTTTCTCAAGCCACAGGGATGGGGGACTCAAACCATGTTTGACCATGTGGGAATCCAGCACCTCAACCACCATGCTACTGGTTGGCCCTAATTCCTTTTTTTTTTTTTTACTGGAAAAGTTTATAAGTATTTTATAGTCATAATACTTAAAGACAATTGAGCTTTGGTTCCTATAATGATGAACTGTCTTAACTAACTTGCCCACAGATAACAATTAAAAACTCCGGGGCCCAACAGCTGGCATAGTGGACTCTCATATGGCCAACAGTGGTTCGAGTAACAGAACTGATGGCTTGCTTTCTCATTTTCTCTCTCTTTCTCTCACATGAGTGCATAAGCCCTATAGCAAAATAATAGTAATAATAATAAATAAAATGAAATGATTCTTAAAAACAAACCCCAGAAAAAAAACCTCTGAACAAAATATTTTTAA